AGCTTGGCCTCACCTGGGCAGCTCTAAGCCCAGCACAAGTAGCAGTCATCCACAGGTTACTTTGTAGGTCATGTGAGGTGGCCCTGGACAAAACACAGGTGGCAGCTGACATTGGCCTGCACCTCCTGGGAGGACCCAGAGCCAGTGCCCCCTGTGGATAGCTTCAGACCATGTCAAAGCACCACCAAACCACCTCCGCAAGTGACACACTCAAGGGATGGACACAGCGGGCACCAGAGCCCCACCAAAGTAAGTCCTGCTCTGTGGGGTGTGCCCCTGCATAGCTGACCCTCCATGGTGGTCAGTGGTTGCAGCTAGTCCTTACAGCAGATCTCTCTGGGGTAAATCCCTACTATTGACATGTCAAAAACAACTAAGGCTCAACTACACAGGAGGGTGCACACAGGGAGGAACGCCTGGAGTGCCCAGCTTGGGTGATCAAGGAGGCTCTGTCACAGGACCCTACAGACACCTATTATATAAGGCCACTCTACAAAGCCTGGGGGACATAGCAGCTTGGCCTAATATACAGAAACAAACATGGGGAGGCTGCCAAAATGAGGAAACAAAGAAACATGACTCAAATGAAAGAAGAGAACAAAACTCCAGAAAAAAAACTAAACAAAATGCAGACAAGGAATCTACTAGATGCAGAGTTCACAACACTAGTTACAAGGATGCTCAATGAATTTAGTAGAACTATAACAGTATAAAAAAGGACATGGAAACCATAAAAAAGAGCCAGTCAGTAATGAAGGCTACACTAAATGAAATGAAGAATAATTTACAGGGAATAAACACTAGAGTAGGTGAAGCTGAGAATCAAATCAGCACTTTGGAATATAAGAAAGCAAAAAACCACCCAATCAGAACAGCAAAAAGGAAAAAGAATCCCCCAAAATGAAGATAGCTTAAGGAGCTTCTGGGACAACTTCAAGTTTACCAACATTTGCATTATGGGGGTGTCAGAATGAGAAGAGAGCAATAAATTGAAAACCTATTTGGAAAAAAATGACAGAAAACTTCTCTAACCTGGTGAAGAAAATAGACATACAAGTCCAAGAAGTGCAGAAAGTCCCAAACAAGAGGAAACCAAAGAGGCCCACACCAAGATACAGCATAACAAAAATGCCAAAGGTTAATCGTAAAGAGAGAATCTTAAAAGCAGAAAGAGAAAAGCAAGATAACTACAAGGGAGCTCCCATAAGACTGTCAGCTGATTTCTCAAAAGAAACTTTGCAGGCCAGAAGGGGGTGGCAAGAAATATTCAAAGTGATGAAAAGCAAAAACCTACAACCAAGGTGACTCTACCCAGCAAAGCTATCATTTAGAATCAAAGAATATAAAAAGAGCTTCCCAGACAAGAAAACACTAAAGAGGTTCATCACCACCAAACCAATATTACATGAAATGTTAAAGGGTCTTCTAGAAGAAGAATGAGGAAGAGGAGGAAGAGAAGAAATAAAAAATATGAACAATAAAGTGGTAATAAATACATATCTATCAACAATTGAATCTAAAAAAACAAAATAAATGAACACGCAGAACAGCAACAGACTCATATATACAGAGAACATTTTGACAGTTGCCAGATGGGAGGGGGGTTGTGGGGATGAGTAAAAAAGGTGAAAGGATTAAGAAGTACAAATTGGTTGTTACAAAATAGTCATGGGGATGTAAAGTACAGCCTAGGGAATATAGTCAGTAATACTCTAATAACTATGTATGGTGTCAGATGGGTACAAGATTTATCAAGGTGATCACTTAGTAAGTTATATGTCTAATCACTGGAGTGTACACCTGAAACTAATATATTATTGTATGTCAACTGTAATTGAAAAATAAAAAATGATTTTAAAAAACTGAACTCAGAATAGATTGCCTATGATTCAGTTTTCTCCTTTGTAAAAAAAAGGGGCGTGATGAAAGAATAATAATAGTACTTCTAATTTATCAGATTACTTAGAGACTTATTGTGATTGATAAATTTGATAATTCACATAGAGGGCTTAATGTGGTTATTGACACATTTATAAGTTCTCAAAAATGTTAACTTTTACTATTATTTTCTAGATTCACTTGCATTTTTGGTAGTATATAGAAATTCGTTTGCCTACCGCCAAACATTTATGGAACATTTATTATATTATGGGCTAACAAGCATTAACAATATGGAATGTCTATTCTTGTGAAGTTTACAATCTAATTTGAGAGACAAAGCATAGAGAGTTAAGATTTATACACAAAATGTGGAATAAACATACAATGGAATATTATTCACTCTTAAAAAGGAAGGAAATTCTGACACATGTGGCAACATGAATGAACCTCGAAGACATTATGCTAAATGGAAAAAAAGTTAAAAAGGACAACTATTGTATGGGGTACCTAGAATAGTCAAATTCATACAGATAGAAAGTAGAAGGGTGGTTGCCAGGGGCTGCAGGGAGAGGGAAAGGAGGGTTGTTTAATAAGTACAGGGTTTCAGTTTTGGAGGTGAAAAAGTTCTGGAGATGAATGGTGGTGATGAGTGCACAAAAAATGTGCTCAATGCTACTAAATTGTATAGCTAGAATTGATTAAAATGGTAAATTTCATGTTATATTTATCTTACCACAGTTAAAAAAAGATTTAAAATGTAAATATTCATATAAGGGAAAATTAAAGTTCATCACTACAATGTATGTAACAGATAAACCAGTAAATTATAAATTATCAAATGCCATTTTAACTTTATTAATAAAATGTATCAATTTATTTTTTGAATAATACATTTGTATAGTACAAAAATAAAAGGTACAAAGTGGTATATATGAAAAAATAAATCTTACTTTAGCCACTCAGTTCCTTTTCCCACAGACAACCCTATTACCAGTTACTTGTATATTGTACCAGAGATACTATCTATCTATCTATCTATCTATCTATCTATCTATCTATCTATCTACCTACCTACCTACCTACCTACCTATCTGTCTTCCAGTGACTGTATTCATACACTGTACACACAATATTGCAACTTTCTTTCTTCACTTAAGAATGTCTTAGCACATCAAATGCAACCTTGTTCTTTTTAAATAGCTGTATAGTACATACCATAAATATATTTAGCCAATTCCCTAGTGAGAAGCCAGAGAGGGTTTCCAGTCTTACTGTTTCAATCAGTTTCAAAGAATAATCTAGCACATACGTCATTTTGTTAATTGTGAGCATATCTGTAATATAAATTCTTGGAGGGAGGGTCACTGGCTTCTTAAATGACTCAGATTATAAGTCCCTACCTAGACAGATTTCACCAAAGAGGTATTGGTGTTAGTCGCTTTATCCAAAAACGTGGAAACATCTTTGTATCATTTTCTTTGGCACCTATCGATCACTAAATCTCCCTAATTTTATCTCCTCAGTATCACTGTCTTCCCTACCCATTTTCCCATTCCTCACAGACAACAACTCAATACAGGCTTTCCGTATTTCTTCACGTCTGAAGTGTTGTCCTCAACACACCCTCCTGAGAGAAGAATTTGCTCCGACACTTTCATGCTACCTAAAGCATCCAGAATTAGGTCTCATGTCTCTATTTTAGCCAACAAGGCTCACCTTGATCTGGTCCTTGCACGTTCCCTCTCTAGCCTTCTCTGTCCTTACCCAACTTTACCCCTTCTGCTTTTATGATGTACAGTCGTTTACAGTTTCAGGCCTCCACGCATTCGTTCTCGCTGTCTTCCCAGCCTGGAACACCTTCACCCATGCCCCTGGCTTCATCAGTGTGGGAAGTCTTGACCTCTTTATTCCAGGGGAGGGACCTCCTCTCTGTGATCCACGGGTCTGCATTCATCTTCCATGGTGACTGCTATTCTCCTCGGAAACGATTTCCTTGAAGGAGGCTGGGGCAGTGGCGGGAGAGGTCTTTTTCCTTCCTCGCTCTAGCGTCCAGCACAGTGTTTGGGGTCGCGTGGTGCGCACTCAATAAAATTTCTTTAAGTGACTTTCCTTAACCGGACCTTGGGAAAAGGGGTGGAATCATTCATTGGCTGATACGTTTATGGAGTGGCTATTAGGTGCAAGATGATGTGCTGGCGTTGGGGTTACAGCCAAGAAGATAACCTAGGGCCTGCCTTTGGCCTCGTGAGAGGTGGGGCGACGGGAACATGCAGTTATAATTCGGCCAGGGCTGCCTGCTCGGGTGCTTTAGGGACAGCGACGAACAACGGGTGCCATTTTAATTTGGGGGAACTGCACCAGGCAAAGGCATTTATAAAATAAGGCCACGCCTTTTCCCGGTGCAAGTCTCTCCAATTAAACCCGCACTCAGACATAAAGCTCATGATTTCTGACAGAAAGTGTATTTGAACAGAAGGTCCTTAGGATCCCTCAGGGGATACAAGCAAGACAACCAGGTCAGAATCCGTACACTCCACGAAAGTCCTCTTTTTCTGCTAAACTGCCTTCTAAACATAAAAAAAACACACCACAAGCCCCCCAAAACCCACACAAAAAAACACGCTTGGTGTGAAAGGACTACATTAAATTTAATCTACCAACTGTTCTTTAGCCGTGATCCTTTCCTACACTCTCCCCTAATATGACCTCTCTTCACAAACGGCTGAGTGCGCTAGAAAGGTAATGAGAAGAGCAGGTTCTGGGGGCTCAGGGAGAACGGGGTTCATCCCACAGCGAAATCACTGCTGGGGGAGCGACTCGGGGCAGGTCGTCAAACTTCCGGTTTCCTCTTCGGCAAAAGAAGATATAATAATAAAAAAGTCGGGAGAAGACGCTCACGTGAAGCCCTTACCTTAACACAGTGACTGACACATAGCTCAGAAGGTGGCTATGAGGCGATCCTAAGGACCTGACGCCTTGGGGGTGTACCTCTGCCTCCGCCACCCAAGGGAACGGAAGCGTGATCCCTACCGCCTCGGACTGAACCGGAAGGCGCGCTCCGGCAAGGACGCGGTTTAGGCTCTCCGGGCCACCGTCGCCGCGCATGCGCACGTGAGCGTGGCGGGACGTCGGTGTCATGGCGAGCTCCATCTGAACTCGGACATCGGCGGGTCCCACGTCGGGCTGGTTGGTTATTTCCCGACTTCTGGGTTAAAGGTGGCGGGTGGGTCCCCATGGGGCAGAGTGTGGCCGGAGCTCTTCTTATGTCGGAGCCTTGAGTCCCCCAATGTCCGTCTTTCGCGGGTGGTTTGATGGTCTGTTTCGCAGTTAAAAGGGGTCTTGCCCGCTGGGATAGGGGAACAGGGAGAGCTGGCAGCGCTGCCAAAAGTGAGGGCAGGGTCGTTGGCCTCCGGTGCTGCAGGGCTGTGGGGAGCATCCAGGACCTCGTTCCTTGCGGTCAAGATCCACTTCAGCCGGCCTCCCGCGTTCTGCGCTGGTGAATTAGTAGGACGGGACGAGGCTGTCGCAGGCACTTAGCTTTCACAGAGCTGTGTCTCGTTAAGAATTTAAACCGAAGTTAGTCATCAGAGCAGGCGGCCTGTGTGTTCCCTTCTCTTTCCCGTTTGCTCATAAAGTCAGTCTGAATCTCGGAGCCACACGCGTCTTTCGGTGGTCTGGATGCCTCCTTCATTGCTTTATTCCTGTTTTGTAGCTGTTGGTATTAATTGCATCACGCAGACGCGTTATGGTGCCGGAGAGTGTTTACTACTGTGGGCAGACGCTGGATCTCGGCCCGGGCGCACGTGGCAGATGTCAACACACCTGCCCTAATCAGCAAGAAGCTGGAAGTAGTATGGAGCATAATTAACCTTGCTGTAGGAGACAGTCTTTGAGGGACGCTAATCTCTTTTAGGTAAATTTAAAGAGTCCTTACTCTGGTTTCGCGGACTTGTTGGGAGCTTGCTTTTTCTAATCAGTTTTTTATTTTCCAGACTCATCTTTCAAGAGGATTTGAGACTAATTGCAGATAATCAAGGTACTCATTTATTTTAAACCTTTCGTGGTTGAGTGACCTGCTACAGGTTATAATGTGCAAAAAGATAGCTTAAGTTCTTAGTAGTTTTGTCACCATCATTGTATGGAAATGCTGTGATCTCCATATCACTAAGAAACATTTTCATTCATTTTACTTAATCTTTCATCTGTGTTAAGTTGCACTGATTGTGCCCACTTCTTTGCCGTGCTCTCTGCCTTTGCCTTCTATGGTCACCTGACTTGCTCCTTTCTGGTGGCTTCTTCTTGGTTTCCATTAAAAGCTGATTCTCTTCTATTTGGCAGTTAAATTTGGCGTTTCTCAAGAAGAGGTCCTGTACCCTTTTCTCTTCGCTGTTCTCTCTCTCTGGGTGTTCTAATCCACAGTGTTATTCTCTGCCTTTTTGATTCCAGTCATTCTTGTGGGTGTGAAGTGATATCTCAGGGTTTTTGATTTGCATTTCCCTAATAGCTCATGATGTTGACATCTCTTCATGTGCTTATTGGCCATTTGTGTATCTTCGTTGGAGAAATGTCTGTTCAAATCCTTTGCCCATATTTTACACTGGTTTATTTGTCTTTCTGTTGTTAAGTTGTGTTTTTTTACTGTATCCTGATACAAGACTTTTTTCAGAGGTATGATTTGCAAATCTTTTCTCCCATTGTGTGGAGTTGTCTTTTCATTCTCTTGAAACGTAAAATTTTTTAATTTTGATGAAGTCCAAGCTGTTTTTCCTTTTGTTGCTTGTTCTTTTGGTGTCATAACTAAGAAACCAGTGCTTAATCTAATGTCATGCAGATTTTCACTTACGTTTTTTTTGAAGAGTTTTATAAGCTCTTAAATTTAGGCCTGTGATCCATTTTGTGCTAATTTTTGTATATGATATGAGGTAGGAATGCAACTTCATTCTTTGCATGTGGCTATCTAGTTGTCCGGTATCATTTGTTGAAAAGACTGTTCTTTCCCCCATTGAATTTTTTGGGCACCCTTGTTGAAAGTCAGCTGACTAGGTAATGTATTACTATTATTTTTAATCCTCACCTGAGGACATGCTTATTGATTTGAGAGAGAGGGGAAGGGGGAAAGAGAGAGAGAGAAAAAGAAACAAAGAAAAAGAAAGAGAAAAAGAAAAAGAAACATTGATCAGCTGCCTTCCTGTGTGCACCCCTACTGGGGATCGAACCCACAACCCAGGTATGTGCCCTGACCTGGAATACGAACCCAGAACCTTTAGTGTATGGGACGACACTCCAAACAACTGATCCACACCGGTCAGGGCTAGGTAATGTATTTTTCACAAGCATGCTAGATGGTTTTTATGAACAAATAACTCTGTGACAGTGTTTCTCAAACTTTAGTAGACATCAAAATCATCTGGAAGGCTTGTTAAAGCTTGCTGGGTTTACTTAGAACATCTGATCCAGTAGGTCTAGAGTATGGCCCAAGACTTTTCATTTTTTACCAGTTCCCCAGTGATTCTGATTGTGCTGGTCTGGGAACTGCTGTATGAAAACTACTGGTGTAGGACTTTGTTTCACAACTGTGGCTACACACATGAGAATTATTGGAAAATTTTAAAAAATATCGATGGCCAGGCTCTGTTCCCAGAGATTGATTCAAGTGCTGTGGGGCTCAGTTTGTAATTTTCAAAAGCTCAGGTGAATACAAGGAGCACTCAAGACTGAGAACCTCTGCTACAGGAGAATTGTGGTTCTCAATCAGGGTGCTCATTGGAGTTACCTGGGCAGGTTTTACGTTTGCAGTCCTAAATTCCACTCTTGGAGATTCTAGTTCAGGATGGGACCTGGGCATTTGATATTATAAAAGCTCTCCTAATAAATCACCTATGTAGGTTACAGTACTCTAGGATGTTGTAGTCTCTCTACTTTTAAAAAAATTTTTATTTCTTTTTAATCCTCACCCAAGGATCTGTTTTAGAGAGGGAGAAAGGGTGTGTGAGAGAGAGAGACATTGATGTAAGAGAGAAACATCGATCAATTGTCTTCCATATTCACCCCAACTGAGGATCGAATCCGCAGCCTAGGTATGTGTCCTGACGGGGAATCAAACTTGCAGCTTTTTTGGTATACGGGACGACACTCCAACCAACTGAGCCACCTGCTGGGCTTGTCTTCTTTTTATCGTTTTCAACATCTCTCTTTTCTCTGACTCTGTTTTTATTACTTTTATCAAACTTGATTTCCTCTACTTTTGTGGAAAAACTTGTATATGATCCTCTGTTTCATTTAATTCTTATTTTGCATTTCTTTTATTCTCAAATTTTCATTTCTTTATTATTTCAAAATTTCTAGAGGCTCACAATTTCTTCTACCTTTTGTTGGAAGTAAAAGCTTCAGTATTATTGGTGAGGGAGATTGTTCAGGTGTATGATATGCATTTCTAGAGTGCATTTTTAGAAATGAAGTTGTTGGGTTAAGGGACATATGTGTTTTAAAGTTTGAAATGTACTTCTAGACTGTCCTCCAGAAAGGATATGCCAGTTTTACCATGCTTTCAGCTAACAGTCTTTTTATCAGTAGGATGAAAAATAATTGATGTTTAAACACTTGCTATTAGTGTGTTTGAGCATTCTTTCCTGTGCTTATTAGCTATTTGCATTTCTTAAAGTGAGTTGCATGTTTTTCCTTTGCCCATTTTTTTCTGGAATGTGTTTATATCGTAGGGTCAGATTAGACTCTTGCATTGCTTGTGCTTTGGCAATGAGGCAGAGCCATAGTGGGGAGAGCTTGGTGTTGAGAGAAGGCCTAGGTTCTAATTCTAGCTCTATCAGTGTACAAATTTTTTTTAGCTTTTCTGGACTTCAGTAAAATAAGAGGCTTAGCAATGTTCCCTACTTCTCTAACTTTGTGATATTGTATGTGAGCTGCAGCGGACTCTTCTTATCTCTCTTCTTCCATTCTATTTTCCTTCTTTTGTTTATGGGATGTTAAAATTGTATAATGTAAAAAAGATGGCTTTTCTTTTGTTGTTGTTAATCCTCACCTGGGGATATTTTTTCCATTGATTTTTAGAGAAAGTAGAAGGGAGGGAGGGGTGGGAAGGGAGGGAAGGGGAGAGAGAAGGAGGGAGAGGAAGAGACATCGATGTGAGAGAGACATATCTATTGATTGCTTCCCGCATGTGCCCCGACCAGGGCCAGGGACCCAACCTGCAACCCAGGTACATGCCCTTGACCGGGAATTAAACCCATTACCCTTCGGTGCATGGGTGGACACTGTAACCGCTGAGCATCACTGGCCAGGGCAAAAAGATGACTTTTAATATGTCATTCAATTCATAGTCCTTCAGTAGCTCTTCAGTAATATTTAAAGACACTACCTGGTCTTAGACTTCTATACTTATTTTTATTTCTTAGGATAATAGTGATGGAAGAAACCCTAGGGATTAAGTATTTACTTCAAGTTTTCTCCAAGAGTAAGAATTTTCTCCTTTTTTATAAAAAGGTTAGCTAAATTTAGCTTAAATGAGCATTTCATTCATTCATTCCGTCAGTCATCAACAAGTACTATGTGTCTGCTATGTGCTAGGCATTGATATAGATGTGGATATAGTGATGAAAAGAGATGATGCCTTTGTCCTTGTGGAGCTTACACTGTAATGAGAAACACAGATACAACTGTGTATATGGTATCAGGTAGGTTAGTTCTATGAAGAAAAATGAAGCATAACACAGAGTTAGAGGTTAGTAAGAGTGTGTGGGGAAAGCTGGGTCAGTGTGTAGTTATTTTATTTTTAAAAAATATATCTTTATTGATTTCAGAGAAAGGAAGGGAGAGCGAGAGAGATAGAAACATCAATGATGAGAGTCATTAATTGGCTGCCCCCTGCACGCCCCCTACTGGGGATCGAGCCCGAAACCTGGGCATGTGCCCTGACCTGGAATTGAACCACGATCTCCTGGATCATAGGTTGATGCTCAACCGCTGAGCCATGTCGGCTGGGCATTATGTGGTTATTTTAGACATGGTGGTTAGGAAAGGTCTCCCTATGGAGGTGTCATTTGAATAGATAACTGGGCAGCAAGCCACACAGATATCTGGGGGATGATATTCCAGGCAGAGGAATAGCAATTGTGAAGGCCCCTGAGTCAGAAACTAGTTTTTCCTACTCAGAGAATATCTAAAAGGTTAGTACTGTTGGTACAGAGTGGGAGGTGGCAGAGGGAATAGCTAGGGGTCATACTTTGTTAGACTGGGTAGTCTACAGTAAAAAATATTTATTGAGAACGTGCAATATGCTAGACATAGTTCTAGTCTTCGCCTGGGATAAAACAGTGAACAAAACACCCAAAGGTCTTTACCCTCATAGAGTATATTCTAGTAGAAGGAGATAGATAGTAACAAAATAATGAAAACATCTAAGCAGGTGATGAAGTGCCATGGTAAGGAAACAAGGTGGGGATAGGGATAGGAAGTATATGTGTATGTAGTGAAGTGGGAGTTGCTCAGAAAGGCCTCACTGGTGACATTTGAACAGTTCTGAAGGACTTGAAGATGTTCCAGGCAAGAATAAGATCCCGAGATGAGTGTGTACCTGGGAGGTATGATGTGGCAAGGCAGCCCCTGTGGCTGAGTGCAGTGATGGGGACAGTGGCAGGCAGCAAGGTCAGAGAGATAACAGGTAGTTGATTACATATGTCCTTGCAGATTTGGGTAGTGATTTTAGCTTTTTATTCTGAGGTGGAGGACATTGGAAAGTTTTGATCAGAAGTTTGAGATGAACTTAGGTTTTAAAGGGGTCCCTGACTTCTATGATGAAATGTCCTTTGGGAATTAAGGATAGAAGCAGGGAGACTAACTGTCAATAATCTAGGCAAGAGGTGATGTTGGTTTGGACCAAGAATGTAACAGTGAGTAGGGTGAGAAATAGTCAGATTCTGAATATATTTTGAAGATAGAGCTAACAGGGTTTTGTTGGTGTGTTGGATTAGAGAGAGGGTTCCAGGATTTTTGGCTTGAGCAGTTAGAAGATTGGGATTGCCT